AGATACTCAACTGCAGTGGTTCGCCTGTCTGAAAATGTTCCTGGAAAAATAACATTTATTGTACCTACTAATGGATTATTTTTTAAAATTCTGTGCGTTTTTTTTATATGGAGGACTCTAGTGCCCCCATGTGCTCTGAATTTTAAAGCAGGCATTCCCCCCTGCAAGCTGATACTAGTGGGAAATGGTGTCTTTGTCAGGATTGCTTGTTATGCTCAAACATCCTCTTCTGATGTTTTCAAAAGCCACTTTGCAGAGGATTTACTGAGCCAGCAGGTAAAATCTGAAGTGTGTGAGATGTGGACAGTTGTGTGCTGCCTTTGGCCGTGTATTCCATCATTGGGATAAGAGTCTGACAGCCTTGTCAGAAGCTATTTAGCTGCGTGGCAATATGCTGAAACCTCTGACAAATTTCTTTACGTTAACATAGGCCTTGCTGTGACATGTCTTAAAAGCTATAGCCTAGCATTACCTCTGCCTGCTTTGAGCTAGCAGGTCACGAGCACTTAAGTTCCTATATCTAGTAAGATAAACTTGCTCCAAGACTTCAGTCTGTAGCAGTTTTCACAAGAAAGGTGAATTTTCTTCAGCATAGTTTGGTTAGGGACAAGTGGATTTTCCTTCTAATGGCTATCCTCAGCTGCTCCAGAGATGGCTAGGGTATGTATAATCTTAATTTGGACTTATTTTGCATAAGTAGTAAAGATGATCATTATTACATGCTTCCACTCCTCATATCTTGTGTTCACTCAATCCTGCAACGAATGATGCCTAATTAATAAGCAAAACTATTCAGTAAATGGTGCAAGGGTCTTTCAGCACAGCTTTGGTTTATGCTCGGACTAGTCTGAATGGAACTCCTGTGAAAAAGCGTTGTTGTCATGTCAGTCTTGTATTTTAACATGTGCAATCTCATTTGTCACTTTCTGATTGACAAGCGATCTTTTACTGGGCTGAGCAGTGTTCTTTGAGTGTGTATCACAAGAAGGTCTGGTTAGTTGTGTTGGACCTCTGTGTGGAATCAGGGCAAGATGGTTAATATTTTCATAACAGTGAAAGCTAATTATGAGTCTTGGAAAAATAAAATTACATAGTAGTGTGACTATAAAAGCTGGTGGCAAAAAAAGCCCTACTAAAATGTTAGAAGCTTTATTATGGTAAACGTATGCAAACAGCAGTACTGTCGTGGTTGGTTGTTTTCCTCCCTTCTCTGCAGTTCTATGCAATTTGGGGCAGGAGTAGGATCTGATCACCTTTAGAACACGCATGCGCTATCCAGTATCTTAATGGATTGTGACTAGTTTTAACCCCAGTTATAGAGAATGCATCAAGGTCTTGCTAAAAATTCAGAGAGTTTTCTTTACATTGCTGGGAGCATGTGTTTGTGAAGAACCTAGTAGGTGCCTTAATCAAAGACTTATCCTTCCTCCTGAGCGCATCTATGATGCGTTTGACAGAGAAACCACTGTTACAACAACCGCATTTCCATCCTAGGTAGCAGTGGTGAAATAATAATTGGAAAAAAGTGAAGAATATGCCTTGAAGTTAAGCTACGTGTCTGTTTACAGGAACTAAGGTTGAAATACGCTTTCCCACTTCTTAAAATCTATTTTCAAGTACTTATTGGCACATACAGACATTTAGACCTCAAGTTATATAATCATAAAATAAGACTTAAACCCAAAACATTATAAATACAGAATCATTAGGTCATATGATCAGGTCTTGCATTGTGTGTCCGATTGTACTTACCCTGCTGTGCTTAGTAAATACTGTTTTTTAAATTCAACTACCTCCTTTCAATCTAATAGAAAGCAATAAAGCAGCACTGCTTCAGTCCCCTTAATGATCCTATAAAAAAGCTTTACAAAATTCAACATTGGCTATGATTGTTCATGGGTCTAACAGCAGTTTTTGAAGAAGCTTTTCTAGAAGTCATTTGACTACTTGTTCCTTGTGAATTTTCAAGCTTTAAGGGGTGGTGTTCAGACAGACTAAATACAGAAGTCGACCCAGAGCCGGAGGTGGTTGCGGAGTTGCAGGGTAAGAGATCAGCCACTACTCAGAGAATAGCTGTAGACACGCCAAGTGACACGTTAATTTGGGATGCCCTAGGAAACGTGTCAATCATCACTCAATTTGATCTACTTAATTTGAACGGAAGGTCTGAACAATGAAATGAGGCTTCTTGCCCCCAACAGAATTTGTGATTCTTTCTGAAAGAATATTAAATGTGTAGTAAATCTTTGTTGAGTTTGCAAATTGATTGTTGAAATAGTTTATTAATAACCTTTAGGATTATTTTAAATTGTACTTGATTATTAATCAGTTCACCAGACTATAGGAATTCTGCACTGCATAATGATTAGCCTAGAGTTGACTTTGATCAGACGTTAAGTCTCTTGGGAAGCTGAAAGACTGGGTTGACTCATCAAATAATGATCTTCCCAGTGTAATATGGGTTACTTTGTGCTTAAGGTTTGAAGAGTAAGAGAGAATGTAGCTGAGTGAAGCATCTTTGTGGGCCTCCATCTTACACAGATGGTGTAGAAAATGCTGAGATACTAAATATATTTCCAACTTCATACCTAAACGTTACACTGATTCATATGAACTGATGTAGAATCTCCTCTAGTTGAACAAGGATTTAACAATACCGAGCTATGTTAATACTCATGGGCATAAGTGTGGACATAAACATTTCTGATTGCATGATAGTTGTGGGGGAAGCTGGGTAGGGTAGCTGCTTGTGAAACATACTGTTCTTCTATAGAATTATCTGGCTGGAATTTAGAGGTGGCCTCTGAAATGTTCTTGCAGATACTTGGCAACGTTCCACCTTAGGAAAGGAAAACTGCTAAGGCATCGGTCCTCAACAATTCAGCTACGGCAGGTCTCTTGAATGATTCCAAGTTTGACATTAATGCAGAATATGAAACTATAACATAGATGTGTTTTGACTGCATGCTCTTCTGTTTAATGCTTGGCAGGTATTCTAAAATTCTAAGCTACAATAACTGATCAATAAAGAGATGTTGCTTCTAAATCTTAATTTTGTTTTGTTTTTTTCCCTGCTGCCAAAACAAGGATAAAACAGAGGATGACACAAAAGACACAACAGTGGTCTTCTAGATATTAATATCTCATTAAAGCAAAACAATTCTTCTGTTCTTGAAACATAGCACTGTTGATAGCAGGTGCAATTTAGTAGGATATGCTTTATTTTCTTTGAGCTTTTATTTGGTATTGGTTCTGTTTGTGCTTTAGCTTATTCTTAGTTTGCACTGTTTCAACTGCAATGGTTTTCTTGAAAGACCCTTTGTAAAAAGAATGCAAAATTAAGAAATCTTTGTCGCTTTTCCTGTTGTCTTTTTCACAGAAATTCAATGTCCTCTTTAAGAAAAGGAAATAACGAAAACCGCAAGAGCATATTTTATACCACCGAAGAGTGGGAATTGCTGGATCCAACCCCAAAAGACTTGGAGGACTCGATGGCCCTGGAAGAAAAGAGGAAACACCTGGCAGAAGGAAGTAAAGGTAGAAGTGGGAGGAAGGAAGGGGACCGTATGCCTTACCTTCTTGAGTACAGCGTACTGTGTTATGTCTGTCTCCAGGAAGTAAATGGAAGTTTTTATCTTTTCTTCACAAACCACATCCAGCCCTCTGTAAATTCTTCTAAAAAAAAATTACTTCCTGACGATGTTTGGAGTCTCCTGCCATTCAGATACAATAGAAGCCTTGTTACCCGCTTGTTGAGGTCCCCTGCGTGTGTTAAATCTCTGGTTTTGTCACTTAAATTGCAAAGTTACAGGATGAAGGGAAATGTTGGGGCTTTTAATTGCTGAGTTGAGGGTCACCCATTGAAGCAGAATTGTCTTTAGCCTCTATGTATATACATGTTATATTGGCTTGATTCTGAAACAGGGAAAAAAGTAGGGATGCGTATGCAGTGATAGCTCATCTATGCATTGTAATTCGTTTTCACATTTGACCAGTGTCTGGAATAACCTTGTGAGGGCATTTTTGCAGCTCCTTAAGAGTACTTTAGCTGACATCCAAGTGATTTAATCTGTTAGAAAACATCTTTCTCTCTAAGAATACTCCTGTGGTTATATAAATGGGGGCTTGAAACCGTATACTGAATGCCTCTTAATAGAAGGGTATGCCATGGTATCAGCGACCCTTTTGCTCTGATAACTTCTGAGCTGTTAATTATTTGAAGCAAAGTTTACTTTGCCATAGTTAGGGGTACCTTTTTATTTTCTGTAATGAATTGTAAATTTCTCTTCGTGTCATTTCACAAGTATTAATTTATGAGCTAAATCTTTTATCTGAGAGGGGAGAAGACTTTGAGCTGTATACTTTTCCCACCAAAGGAAGCGACTTGGAAAATGAGACCATTTTCACACTATTGTGTTGGGCTGTTGAAATGCAGCTTAGAGTCTAATTTTAATGACCATATTTTTAAAAGGAAATCTGAATGCTTTGAAATGCCTTTTTACTAAGTGAACTGAACTAGAAGGAATTGTTTTACACAGGACTGGCTAGTTCAGCTTTTCCATTTGATTTTGGCCGTATTCCACACAAAACAAGGCGCCCGTTAAAAGACATGATTGGATCAAGCAAAAACCGGAACAGCAGTGACTCTTCTCCAACTGAGTGGTATTCTGGTAATGGCAACAAACTAGTCTCTGAACTGCAACTGAAGTATCAAAGCCAGCAAGAAGAGTTGGAAAAGCTAAAGAAAGATCTTTTGAGCCAAAAGGTAATGAAGCCTTCAGGCAAAGTGCGCAAAAGCAAATGGATCTGGCAGGTGACTGTGAGTTTACCCTTTATGGCCATCTAACTGCATTAAGAGCTGAGTGTCTGTTATAAAATAGTGATGCTAAATGAACCTTCATTTACAAAAAGTCTCGAAACAAGAAGGACCAAATTTTACATCTGTTGAAGATTAGATCCCTGAACAAAACTTTGGTTTTGTTGGTATGTGTATCTTTTATTATCTGAAGCTAGCTTTCTCAGTGTCTACCAGGATCCTGGCAGGTAATTAGTCCATGTAATTACTGAGGAACTTCTCATTTCAAATCCTTTCTTATTTAGTTTGGGTTTTGTTTCTTTCAGTTCTGGAGGAGAGGGTGGGGGAATGGGGACTGACTTCTATCTCTCTCTAACTGCGTCATCACAAGCAGTTTTGTAAATGATAGGCCTAACCATAAATCTGTGTATATAGTACAGCCCTCGTACAGTGTTCATGCTTGTATGCCCTTGTAACTCAGATTTAGTAAATACCTTAGTTTTATCTAAAACAATTTCTCAAAAATCAGTGGCTCATTCTAGGTATATCTTTATGATTTTCCAAGTCTTCGTAAACTTCCACGTAGGTTATTGAACACTCAAGTTCTCAGGATTTCCATGAAACCAATTCCGATTTCTGTCTGTGTATTCTGAATTAGTGTCAGGGAACTACTGAAAAAAATAAATAAATCCCAGTTTCATTGGTAAGTATTGCAAATGCTTCTGGGGTTGAACTTATCTTCCCACAGTTCCACAGTGTTAAACAAATAACTAAACATGGAAATGGCGAAGGTGTAATAATCCAGATTAGTGAGACTTGTAAGTGAGCAGTATGCTGTTCTTCCTTTCTTAGTGTTTATTGTTGATCTGGAAATCTTCTTATCTTCTTGTGTGTGTTTTTGGGGTTTTTTTTGTTGTTGTGTTTTGGATTTTTGGTTGGTTGGTTTCTGTTGGGTTTTGGTTGTGTGCTTTGGGTTTTTGTTGTTGTTTGGGGTTTTTGTTTGGTTTTTTTACATTTTAGCTTTCAGAGCAGATCTTGTAGTAGCTGGGACAATTCTTTTAAATTTCACTTTGACTTATTTGCATGGAGCAGCCTTCACTTCTTGAATATCATAGTAAGATCTCATTCCAGCAAGGAATCAAGTAGGATTTTACTTTCAGTGTAACTGCCTTTAAAATCAGCTGCTTTTGCATGCGTGCCCATGATGCCCCAAGCAAAACACATATATCTTTCATGCAAGTGAATAAATGTTGTAATTGTCCAGGACCTATGCGATCCCATGAGCAAAGATGCTCGTCCTTTTTTTAGAGGGAATAGAAGGCAAAAATGTTAGATGGATGTGTTTTCAAAAACACATTTTCTAGTTCAGAATCTTCAATGCTGTCTTTTTTGCAAAGACCACAGAAAGTCCTTTTCTCCCTTATGGCAAATCAGTTAATTACTTGGCTGATTTTGTGGCAAGATTTTCTAAACAGCCCTCAAAAGACTTCCTCTTCAGTAAAGCAGTATGGTTTGGGTTTTTTTTTATTTTCTTTGCATCTGTTAGGGAAGAGAGTAATTAGTTATCTTTCTCTCTTCCATTCTGTGATGTTCACCTCTTAAATTTTTTTCTTTTTTTTTCTTCCTTTTTCCTTAAGCCCTCTTCCTCTTTATCTTCTTACTACAGGGCTTCTTAGAAGTAGGCCTTTTTTTAGCTTCCAAGTAACTGTTGGGCCACAGCTGTCAGCTACTCTTCCCAAGCCTGTTGTAGCCTTTTTAGGCAGGATCCTTAGCTCAGTGAAAGATGATGATGAAGCCATCCGTATAGGCCAGTTGTAAGGTGTTAGCCTGCTGGAAATCAGGTCACGTAAGTGTTTCCTTCTTTCCTTAAAACACCACTGTGAAGTCTGTTATAAGCTGATGATTCAGATGCAAAACTCATTCCAAAGCTTTCTTTTGCTTGATGTTAGATTGCTAAATTATGAAACTTAGAAACTTGAAACTTCATTGCAATCTTGCTTTTTTAAAATCCTCAGGAACTTGTGCGACTTCTGCAGCAAACAGTCCGATCTTCCCAATATGATAAGTATTTTGCAAGCCGTCTTTGTGAGGGGGTTCCCAAAGACAAATTAGAGCTGTTGCACCAAAAAGATGACCAGATTTTGGGTCTCAACAACCAGCTTGAAAAGTTAAATCTCGAAAAAGATAGTCTTCAATCTGAAATGTAAAGTTGGAGAACTCAATGAGCGGCTGGGTATGTTGATGGAAACTATTCAAGCTAAAGATGAAGTGATCATGAAACTCTCTCGTCAACTCAGCGAATGTGAGGACAATACCTCCTCTCAAGGCGGAGCAGTAAATTCTTCCATGGCCACCTGTACTAATAAGGAACTACAGGAACTGGACAGACTAAAAGTAAGAGCAATGTCTCTGTCTCGGTGGATAGGGGAATCTGTGCTCCCTCTCAAAGCTACTTTCTAGTCCGCTGTACTGTTTGAGGAGATCACTACAGCAGTTCTCCAAGATACTCATCAACTGAGGCTTTCTCTGTGTGGAACCTACACTTTGAACTGTTATGTGGCAATCTAAATAGGACTTTTATACTTTGAGCTGGTCTGTACATCCTTAGTAGAGTGTCCCATACTTTCCGTAATTTAATCATTGGTGAGGAGGAGGAATGATCTGAGAAGTAATCAAAGAAACAGGAAAAAGTAAGGGTAAGAGGAAAAAAATAAGCATGGAGGAAGACAACCAGAAACATTGCTTGGTTTTTTTTTTTGTTTCTTCACTTTTGATTCTTTTTTTTTTAAAAAGAGTATGTGGAATGGCAAAGGGGACCTCCAATGAGGAAAAAAGGAAGAGTATAAGAACCTGTTTTACTAATGCTGCTCCAAATGTTATCATTGCTTTTTTTTTTTCTCTAACCTACCTCAATGAATGCATCAGAAGTTCCTAATGGAGTTACTGAAGTTACTCATTTGGCTCTAAACATGCTTTCTTGCCTTTGGATAAATGTTGTATTCCAAATTGATTAATATTCCAAGTGATTTGGAATACAAGTAGGTCATTTAAAACATGTATAAACATTCATAATTTTCTTTCTTATATGTAAGTCTGAGAAATCTTAGAAAATAAAAATGAAACTAGAAATCAGTGGTCTCGGCATAAAGTTGGACCAAAGCTTGTAAATGCTGTGGAGCATGGGAGTATTGTAATTGCTGGGAGAGTACTAATGTTCCCTCCTCCTACAGCCTATTATTTTGAAGGTAATATTTGTAGCCTGGAGCCGAGTGGATTAGGCCTGGAAGCTTATTGCTGAGGATTTATATTTTTGTATAGAGACAGACATCAAACTTGTACTTGAAATGAGGGCTTGTGAGGGTAACCAAAACCCAAGGGGCATTTGCCCCCACTTCTTGTATTGCATGAAATGTGCTTCTGGCCGATGGGCAGCACCATGATGTCTCTGTGTTCAGCATGCATAGCTCTCTTCTCCCTGTACACCTCTGCGCTCGTGTTTGGCATGTGCATTTGGCTTACGTGAAGACTGAAAAGAATACTTGATTTGATCCTGATAGTTTTAATAAGTCCTATTAGGAGCTGCTTGTTCTGTATTCTAAGATAGACTTTCTCTGGTAGGCATTTGCTGTTTGTGAGGTGATTTTATTAAAAATCCAGTTTGATTTTTTTTTTTTTTTAATCAACAGGACAATCTTCAGGGTTACAAGACCCAGAATAAATTTTTAAATAAGGAGATTTTGGAACTTTCTGCTCTACGAAGAAATGCAGAAACAAGAGAGAGAGAATGGCAGGCAAAGGTCAGACGAATGCAGCATGTTCTCATTTTGGCAATGTCTAAAGCAGCTTTCAAAAATTCAATTGTAAATCTATTCAGGGAACGTAACTGTAGAATGGAAATGGAACAACTTAAATGTATATAAATGTGATATTTACAAAAAGAAAAAAAACTCCCCCAAACCCAGTTCTTACAGACTAATCTTCTTGAATGGATTCTTGAGAGGAGTAATTGACTTTAAAATGGCGTTAACCAGTGCAACTTTTCCATAACTTACGAACACAGGCATGTATATTTCTGAAAACCTTGTTTCCTTAGAATTAAGGCTGTAATAAATTTCTTGAAGTATACGAAAGACAGGATGTGTAAGGATTTGGTATGTGACTGAGTAGAGTTTTCACCTGAGCACAAAGGATGACTACAGTACGGTGAAGGTAGCTTTAGATGTGAATTTCTGTATAGTTGAATTTGAGTGTAGAGAAGTTGCAGGTGAATAATGAAGATTTCCAGTGCCTGGAGCTAGGAAAGTATGCACACATCTGTAGCCAAGGCAAGATACCTGAAGCTGTGGTTTGGTAGGGTTTGCTTTTGTTTTTTTGGAAACGATGCACACAGCAGCCAGGTCTAAATGTTGTATTTTTGGCACAGAGGGGTGTGTTTACAATTTCTACATGCTATTACCTAACTCATATCGTTAAAATTCCATTTAAGTTCTTTTTGTTCAAACATGTGTGGACTAGAGCTGTTACTTTAAAAGTGCAAAATGGTTGAGTTGTCCTTCATATAATGTAATGATAATTAAAGTTTGCTCAGATTTTCTGCATGTAAAAATACACGTGGTAGAAAGTCTCTGGTCTACTATTCTGCCTTAAAAGACTTTCTGTAAAAAGCCACAAGTATCTGAGGTTTCTTTTCCAAGTACTTTATATACAGAATTTTACAGTAGTGTAATAAAATGCATATGGAACTTTTATTTTCCACACATAACGGTTGCTTTATGTTTTCTGGTGCTACAAAAACGGGAAAGTGAAGCTGACTGTTCTTGACTTACAGGTTTCTAAGCAACATAAGCTAATAGAATAATACTGAACCAGCTTTTAAAAGTAGTAAGTTTCTGAAGACTTATAATATATAATATTGTTTTCTGGCAGTATACTAGCTTGGAAGCCAAACTCTGTCAGATAGAAAGTAAATACTTGATCTTGCTTCAAGAAATGAAAACTCCTGTTTGTTCTGAGGAGCAGAGTCCTGCTCGTGAGGTCATCACACAGTTACTGGAAGATGCCTTGAAAGCAGAAACTGGTGAACAACCAGAACAAGCGTTTTTCAAACCACACCTGGTCAGGTAATTTGGTCCTATGAAAATAAATGTTTGTGTGTCTTGGTCAATGGGCCCAGTTCTGACACTGGAAAACTAACAGTGGGGATGTATTTGCAGGATTTGGGCTCTGTAACATATTTCCCTTCGTGAATAACACTATCATCATGAAATACTTTTGCCTGTATAAATACACTTATTATTTTATTTGAGATACAGTATAAAACTTAAATGTTGCTGTATACCTGCTGAAGGTGAGCTAACAAAGACTTGGGTTCAGTTGAACTTGACTATTGTTTAATCTGTCTAGTAATATATATGGGCAGAAAGTCTTTTGTATATGGGATTATAAAAAATTACGAAATAAAGGATATACTTTGGAAAATGTTTAAATAATAATAGTTAAAACTTGAACGTTAGGAGGAGTGGCTTGAGGGATATTTGAAGTAACTTTAGGATGAGAACTTGAGAGTTTTAGGGCTACTGAATACATTTTTAAAAGCTGCCTTTGTTTTTTCCCCTCTATTTCAGTGAATATGATATATACGGTTTTCAGACAGTCCCAGAGGATGATGAGGAGGAGAAACTAGTAGCAAAATCACGAGCTTTGGACCTGAGATCGCTTTCTCTCAGTGAAAATCGAGAGATCTCCACAGGAGTAAAATGGGAGAACTATTTTGCAAGCACAATGAATAGAGAGATGATGCGCTGTGTAGAACTAAAGAATCTTATTCGATCTGGAATTCCACATGAACATCGTTCCAAAATGTGGAAATGGTGTGTCAATCTCCATGTTAAAAAATTCAAGGACAGCACTGTTCCTGGGTACTTCCAAACCTTGCTTCAAAATGCTCTGGAAAAACAAAATCCTGCATCTAAACAAATTGAGTTGGATCTCTTGAGAACTTTGCCAAACAACAAACATTATTCCTCCCCAACATCCGAAGGGATCCAGAAGCTGCGAAATGTGTTGCTGGCATTTTCGTGGAGAAATCCTGATATAGGATATTGCCAAGGGCTCAACAGGTAAGACTTTGCAAATCTTGAGTTACAACTGTGCAATGAAACACTTAATGAGCCTTTCAAATCACATGTGTAGCAACATGCTTTTGGACAGCAATTTGCCTTATGGGTTGTATGTTCATAACTTACAATGCTTTAATAAACAAATAACTATACACAAATATTTTTAAAAACAATAAAAGAAGACTTGGATCATGAAACTTGTAAAATCCGCTCGGGAAAAGAACTGGGTTGGTGTGGTGGGGTTTTTTGGTTTTGTTGTGGGTTGTTTTTTTTTTTTTACTGTTAAGGCCACAGATTTCACCATTTCCTTCAGGATGTCTTCAGTCAGAATTTTAGGGATCCATTTAAGGATGATTCTTATGTTACAAGGCTAAGAAAAATTTGAAGTCATTGCAATTGGCGTTTGCCAACGTAGTTTTGGTACTTTGAGATCTGTAGTAAAGGAAGGTGTTACTTGAAGCAGGTATTTCAGTCTAATGCCCCGCCTTAACCCCATGATATAACACTATAGATATCAATTTGTGCCCTAATTTATGTACTAGAATAGGGTAAAAGACTTCATTTGAAACTGCACTGAAGAAGTAGTAAAATAGAGGCAGTGAATAATACAGTAGAGGCAGTGAGGTGGTTTACGTTCTGTAGGTAAATAATATGTTTTTAGTATTAATATTGTCGCTGGCATGTCACATGTCTGAAGAACACAGCTGTTGCAGTCTTGGAGCAAGCTGTCCCTGGTGACTAGAAAGCATTAGAAATGCTTTTGCTAAATTTGAATTTTCTGTGCAGCAGTATTTTTTCCCGAGACATTTTTGCTTTTAGTGTAAATAATTCTGCATTTGGGTTTACTTGCAGAAGTTAAAAGCAAATTAGATATTTATTCCATGCTTTAGTCCTGTTAGGCTTTTAAAGCGTGATCATCTTATGAAGCTGTGTGACATCAGAAACAGTTTGTGTTTGTTCCAGCTGTGCTTGCATACAGAAATAAGTTTACTTGGAGAAATATATTGGAGGTAACCTTTCATACAACAGTTTTGTGTGAAACGCAAGAACCATCTGTTCTTGCTCCCCTTCAATAAGGAAAGACAAAAGCCTGGGAATCAGAGTAGTATATTTAGGACTTGGAAGCTTCTAATTATTTTGCTTTAGTTCCTGGAAAAATGGCTTCTAGCAAATCACTTTGCATTTGCCTTTGTCTGTTTCTTATTTAACTGAATAAACATGCTTGGCGTGGTTGAGAAGGCATCTCAGTGCCCCATCTTAAACTTCTTCAACAGTTTTGCTGTTTAGTGTTCTCCTTTTAATACATTTATCTCTGCTGAACAGAAACAAAGGCTTTATTGTGATTGTTCTTAATATATTCTGTGATACTATAGTAATACTTTTCTCTACATAAACCCTATTTTCAGATTGGTAGCGATTGCACTTCTGTACTTGGAACAGGAAGATGCTTTTTGGTGTCTAGTAACAATAGTGGAAGTTTTCATGCCTCGTGATTATTATACTAAGACACTGCTAGGATCTCAGGTATGTGCTCTGCCAGAATAAAGCCTGGTCCTGTAAACTGCAGCAGTCAAAACTTTCTTCTCAATCTGTCCAATAGGCCTTTTTGGGGGATGTGTTGACAGAAGTGAGTCCCAGGCACCAGGGCTCTTGTTTGGACAAGGACTCTGAGTGTAGCAACACTGAAATAACTGTTCAGTCACCTGCGTGGAGCTCCAGTCCTTAACCCCTCTTTTGATCGTTAGCTTCACAACATTGATTGAACTGATTTATCATTTGTTTCCTCAAAATTGGGATGGGGGGGGGTGTGTGTGGAGGGGGAGCTATGGGCTCTCTGGAGCAGTGGGGGTGAGTATGCATTTTGGAGTTCTGCTAGCAGCATATGCAGTAGCACTTCTTTCCTTCCAGGCGATGTTCTGGTGTGTTCTGCCTCCTCCCTCCAAGTCTTTCCCCAGCTTGTTCTCTGCTCCAGGGCTCCTGTGCCAGTGCAGCGCTAGTGACCCATAGTAGGAACACAGCATTTGCGTGTGAGGAGCCCTGTGAGACTCGGGGTGGAATGAGAAGCAAAAGTTTGTCAGTGAGAGTGGTGTGCATTGGGGTGGCCTTGTATGTTTTGGGTGGATCCTGCTTAGAAGTGTTAACTAGACAGTCCTAGGTTTCCTGGTTAGCTCTTGAAAAACTCGCACTTGCAGATTGGTAACAGCCTTACTTTGAACCATATATATATATATGTTGGAAAATGTAGGACCAGTAATGTCATATTTGTCATCTCTTTAGGTTGATCAGCGAGTATTCAAGGATTTAATGAGTGAGAAGCTTCCACGACTGCATGCTCATTTTGAACAATACAAAGTTGACTATACTCTTATAACTTTCAACTGGTTTCTCGTGATATTTGTGGACAGTGTGGTTAGCGACATCCTTTTTAAAATATGGGACTCCTTCCTGTATGAGGGACCAAAGGTGAACTTAACGAGCTAAGTTTTTTCCAGTTGTTACCTGGTAACAAAATACAGCGGTGGTGGTGAGTGCAGGGTGGAAGAAGGTTGTTTCAATCAGAATCCTGTCAGTTAAAAACACTGGTAGGAAAAAAAAGGAGGAAATGTGCATAAATAGCCAGTCAGAACATTTTCCATTTTATCTGTGTTCTGCAAGTTAAAAGCTTGAGTTACATGGAAGACTTCTAAATGCTAAGTATTTTACTTTCATCACCCACCTTTTTTCTTTTTTTTTTCACTTGAACAATAAAGCTATAGGCAGTGCTCTTTACTCCTACATGCAGCTGTCAGTGAGTTTTAAGTAATTATATCAAAATAACAACTACTCTCATAAAGAATAAAGCTTAAGTGAAGGAGGCAGAAGTTAGAAGCATTGAAAAGATGTAAAAATTAGCCCTAACCAAGTGCTAATATTTAGCTTGTCTCTGCAGCAACTGTTTGCTTTATTTCTGCAGATACTTGAAGTACAGCTGACAAACAATGACTATGTGGGCTCCTATCTCATAAATTAAGGGGTGGAGGGTGAATGAAAGAATTTTCATGTGTTTCATATTTGTCGAATTGCAAGGAAATAAAGTGGCTGCAGGAAAAAAATAATTGGATTCAAACACAATAATAACACTAAAATAGATGTAGGCAATTGGAGAGGTACACAAAACCCGTGCATCTACTAGCTTTCTTGCTGGCCTCATCTGAGCATTCTAACGCACAGTGGTATTTTGGTTGTCTGTGCATTTGGTTTTAAGCATCTGGTATTTTGTGAAGGCAGCCAGGTGGACTGACCAAGTCTAGAACTTACTGAAGCCTTTTCAGAATGAGGGGAAATAATGCTGCTTCCAGCTCATGCCGAGGTTGATTGACAAACTGGTTATCAGAAATTCCTTCAGCATCAGACCCCCAATGTGATAGGACAATTCAAGGCCTTGGAAAACAACCTGTATGAAAAGCAAAACTTAACTCTGAAGTAACTTAATAAATGCATTCAACAGGCCCAGTAGTCTTTGTTCTACAACTGAATTAGGAACTCAAAACTTGAAAGAATTTATATGCTATAAACACAACATTGTATTCTGGATAAAACTGCAGAACACCTTGTCCTGACTACAGGCCACAACCTGGAACAGAAGTTTTTGGCAGCTTGTGGAAATGGGGGATGAGGCAGGGAAGGGGGAGAGGTGTGATTAGAGAGCTCAACTGCCGCCTGTAGGAAGAGTAGCACTTTTCCTTTTGAGTTTATAATAGGTAATGAGAATCAGTGCATTCTGTTCTTACAAAGAACCAAATGTTGTATATATCTTTATCAGGTAATATTCCGATTTGCCCTGGCACTTTTTAAATACAAAGAAGAGGAAATCTTAAAACTGCAAGATTCAATGTCCATTTTCAAGTACCTTCGATACTTCACACGCACTATACTTGATGCTAGGTGGGTAACTCAAACGTGTGTGTAATTGAAAGATGTGTGGTGGAGCATGGAAGTAGTCTGTTGTGGGTTTTTTGTTTTATTTTTATCTAGATCTTAATTTAGATGTAAAGCAACTAGAGACGAAATAAACTACTAAGATTTCTCATGCATAGTTTGATCTAGTGGAGACAAAAGCACAAGTGATGAATGCATAATTGCAAATTTTTAGATATGATAGAGATTACTTTGCCAGGTTCATCTTGTTTAGCAGTTGTATCATGGTAGCAATACTGAAGAATTTCAACCGTAGGTGAAGTCTCCCCCTGCATTGTGGATACAACTTCTGCTGTAATGTGTTTTACAATAAATAAAAAACACATCCTGGCTCAAGTATTAAAAACATGAACAATGACCCACTAGGTTTAGATCTCTTGTGCATCATTAATGCACAGGCTAATGCCACATAATTCCAGTTGATTTTAAGATATATTTTGAAGCAGAGAATAAATACAAATTAGATACTCTTCTGTTCTTCAGTCCTTGCATAGGAATTAAAGTTTGTAAATTAGGTCTAATGTCTTTAGGTTCCTAGTTTCAAGACTGCAGAGCAGTAGATTGATCTGAAAAAGAAAGGTCACATAGGGCTTGGTTTTATGTCTGAAAGAAAATGTTTTGCACAGATATTGAAACTTGCTGATTTTGAGTTTACTACAAAAATCTTATACTAGAATGAGGGGTGGTTTTTTACAACAATAAATTCCATATGAATTTAGGCTTATGCTTTGGCTCCTACTGCAAGAGCTATTTATTATTTTTACTTCCTGGGTTTCTGTTTTTGACTGGAGGCAAGTTAAAAGTGAATAATCTCGCCCTATGCTTAAAAAGGATTGCTGGGACTTTTCTGCAACTGATTTAAATGGTAAAAGTCTTGATAACAGATGTTGCTTGCGCTGCTGGAAGCCTCTCCCAAAACTCTTGAGGGGGAGTTGTGTGGTGCTTTGTATTTTAGCATTCCCCCCTTTGATTTGAAAAATGCTGAACAGTTGTTGTACTCAGCTGTTTGTGACCAAAATAAATGCTGACTCTGATTGCAAATCTGGAAGTGACAGAGAAGTATGTATTTGATTTTCGGAAGAGGGTGCACATAGTGTTAACAGAAAAATCATAAATGAAACAATCCTGTGGATATTTTATTATTGATATATAGGCTATTTTATAGCTTAAATAAAAGTACCCCTACAGTATTGCCAGAAATGAAAGAAAATGGGGGTAGGGAGGGGGGGGAGAAGGAAAAAAAAATTTGAATCTTTTTGCTCTTACCTAATTTGAACAAAATTCTGATATTTAATCAGAGCTGCAGATTTGACTTTTCCTTCATTTTCCAATTATGTAACGGAAATGACATTTTGGCTCTCCTGTCTAAACTTTCTGGCACTGAAATAACCTATTTTAAAGATTTCCAGTATTGCTGGAAGAAATCTCATTTGACTGTTAACAAAATGAGCCAATTGGGTATCTTTGGCAGATGGGGAGTTCAGGTGAGGACACAATTCAGTGCATCAAAGATATTTCCAATACAAATATATCCTGTGCTGGCCTGTAAATCTGTTTTCTTAGGATTTTAAAAGTCAAGAGTTGAAAGTAGTGGCGTAGTGCCACCTAGGGGATATGAATTTGCCTCTAGAACTGATGAGGCGTGATTCAAACTCCCTGGTTTCTTCTTCTACCATTTCTGTACAAGTTTTACAGCATGAAAATTTAAACAATACAAAAGCATGTAGAATGATGTCTGTCCTGATACGGACAAAAAGTCATCTTCTTGTAGAGGAAAAACTCAGGAAGATGATGTTTGTAGAATTCATGGACATCCTGAATGGGTTAGAAAATTACTTTGCACAGAATTCCTAAGTTTAAGCTCTCTAGTGGAGAAGAGGCTCTACAGACATGTGCATGATTATGCTCTAGGTTATAGAATGTCATAGTTAAGTTTTTCTACAGATGTAAGTTGCATTCTATAGCATGTTGTACACAGGTAGAGAAGCTGGAATAAGTTCTGTTTATAAATAGCAAGAAATTGTTCTTGTTCACTCAAAAATACAAGCCTAGGGAGAGCTTAGCCTTAAATACACTGTCAAAATAAATTTTTCTTTGTATTTGGGTTCATCTGATAGATAAACTGGCATAAGTTAAATTCCAGTTCTCCTTTTTCCCTTAGTATTAGATACAGATCAACAGTAACAATGTAGTTAACTCTCTTTGGACCGATTAGGCAGATCAGTTTCTAGTTTAGCTGTGACTGAATGATAGTGTGATGCAGCATGATGCTGGGTGATGGATGGTCTTGTGGTGCTTTGCCACGTGATCTGATGAGCTTGAGCTAATACCAGCACAGAGATCTCTATACTCTGGCCAGCAGAATCCCAGAGCTTTCTCACTGTATCGCAAAGTTTGGCTTATACGTGTTTTGTGTTGTCCTTGTCCGTATTTGTGTTATCCCAGGCTCTCTCTGATCTCCTACACCACTTCGTCATCTTGGATGACTTGAGAGCTGACTGTCCTGGGATTGAATGAGCTTCTGTGAGTTATATGCAGGAAGCTTACCCAATCTATAATCGGGTAATTGGATGTACCCAGTATTCAGTCTAGCCAATGCAACTCTGGTTAGCCAAGCTCACATCTCCTGCTCAGTGTTGTCAAGGCTCTAATTGCGATAGTGTTATATAGAGTTTGCAAGTGGCTTTGTGAACTCATGAGCATTTCATGACACTTGATCACTTCAAATAACTTTGAAACAGAGTGCTTTATAGACCTTTCTTGCAATACTGGTAACATTTGAGACCTGTCAGGTGTATGAAGATGACCAGAGATATCAGCCATATACTAAATATTGATAAGGATGAAGTTCAAAACTGATTTTAAAAAACACCAAATATGAATGTTTGTCTTCTAACATTGTGTAATCTTACAGGAAACTGACTGGTATTGCTTTTGGAGACCTGAATCCTTTTCCATTACGTCAGATCAGGAACCGGAGGGCCTATCACCTGGAGAAAGTGCGTCTTGAACTAACTGAACTCGAAGCCATTCGTGAGGATTTCCTACGTGAACGAGACACGTGTGTAGAAAAAAGAGACCTTATTAGTGATGATGAGGAGGATAGTTGAAACTATTCAACGTAAACTCATAAACTGTTCTTTGGGATCGTGACCAAAGTGAGTTAACCTCCAAAACACTTTATTAATCCTGTCAAACAGAATGTAAACTAATTGCTTTTGGAAATATGCAGGACAGATTTCCAAACCCCAGCACTTTGAGAAATATTGCTTTGTATGGAGGCCAAACACTTCTGTTTACATTTATGTTTATGGAATTGTATGTGGAGCACTTAGTATCTGTCTCAGTTTAGTCAATTGGCTGAATTGCCAGTTGTTTTTTCTGCAGTGCACTATTAGTGCCTGTATGTGAAACAGTAGTAAGAAAAGTCCACCCTCTGTTTACCACATTCATTGCCATTCTGCAGGTTTTTTTAATGTAATCATGTTTTTTTTGTAGCGCAAGTTCAATGTGGGAGGACATCATGGCTTTGGTTTCAGGTTAGTTCAATACATGGCTTTCATCATGTTGCCCCTGAATAAACTAGCCATTCTTGAGGTCACAAACTAGACAAGTATGGAAGGAAGCACCGCAAGAACTTTAACATTCCTTAGTCTCTTCCTGAAGTGACATGAAGTGGATCATCAAACAGAACACTTGACTATATGTACTTAAAGTAAAGGTAAAATAAATACCTATTTGTCACTGATTGTTCAGTGTACACTGAAACAGTGGTATCAAACATCTTTTATGCTTTTCTGGGCAACTGTGTTGATAAAGATTCTCCTTAATGCAAAGGGTTTTATAGATCAAATTCTGTTTAGTCAATTTTATTTCTATTCACTTTTTTTGATTGCAGTGTCTCAAAAAAGCCACAACCAAAACCCAGCTATTATGGAAGAAGAATGGAGCTTGTCACATGAGTACCATGTTTTAGTAGCTAATCAGTTATGTATCTGTTGAAGGCTTTTTTATTATTATTTTATTTTAATGCTCCTTCCTGTTTAGGACTTAGAATAAGATGAAGTCTTGATCTTTGAGAATAAAGGTAGCTTTTTTTTTTTTGCATGAATGTATAACTTGTACAATAGTGGTAGCAATAGGATTCCTAAAACAAGTATTTATCAATCGATCAAAAGAGCCTAAAGGTCACAGCATACATGCAGAAATTCAAGATCCTTTTCCAGGAGAAAAATGTAATATTCTTCTAATGTGCTCAGCTTTGCTGTGAGCATTGCATGCATGCCTTGCAAGACAGCTGTAAGGAAACATTTGGTGTGTTCAGCTGTAGTGTTTTTGGCTACAGAAATGTGACTGGAGGCCGTTCTTTCTCATTTGATGACTGGCAATACTCTTAAATGGTTCTGAGGATGAGGAAAGGTTTCTTTCTTGCTGGCTATTCTCTGGACTTCTGCAATGTTCTTTCTTGAGCTGTTGGATCTTCAGAATGTTGGATTGACTTAAATTTTGTGTCTGAACGTGTCATGATAAAACTAGCATACAATTACTAGGCAGCAAATAGCTCAGCTCTGGGGAAACAGTTAATTGGCAAAAAACAAAACTGGTGGTTGGGAATGGTCAAGTGCATCAAGCTTCTACATGGTGTGTTTTCTTTTGGTTTTCTGAGAACAAGCAGAACTTTATCAGCTACACTTGTTTTAGAAAACATAAGTGTGTGCAGGGAGGAATCCTGCTTCTGTTTCACAGCACTTTTTTTTTTTTTTGAGAATGTATTCGTAGCCTTTTCTAAGCATATTATCAATTTATCTGGAAGGGAAATATTTAATCAGTGGTGAACATAACTTAAAGGACTACTTTTGATATAAAGTGTATGCTTCTTATGACATGTAATTTTTAATTAGCCAACAATTCTTGTCAATGAGGGACACATGGTATGATCATCTTGATTTGTATGTTATTTGTCTTCTAAAATGTCCCCTACCTTTTCTATTGTAAGCAGTAGTTTAGGTTTTTTTTATTCCCTAGTTACTCTTGGTTGTGTACTTGAGTTTATTAGGCAGGTTTTTCATGTTATTGCATGTACTGTATTCTTTTTTTTTTAGTTACAATCAGTGTTTGAATAGAAGAATGGGACCAGGTTTTCTAATTTTCTAGTTAGGCTGTCTTCGTTTCGAAAGAGCTGGTCTCTAAATCAATCTAATGTCCACTTTTAAAAAAAAAAATCTTGTTTATCTTCCTAAGCTGAAGATCTTCCTTTCAGTGGCAACAGTTGAAATGTTAAGGTGAAGAATTTAGAAGTATGTACCTATCCTATTCCTATTTTGAGTCTTCACTATGAAGTAGTCCTATGACTTTAGGAGGTGTTTTCAGACTGATTCCATTGAAGTCTTCAGGTGTGAAGATAAAACTAATGTTGGGGCAACTGTTGAGGAAGTTCTCTAGCTGACAAAACATGTCACAGGACCATTTATTTTCTACAGTTGTGCTGATGGTTAAGTGTGTGTGTGTTGCTGTGTTTCGTTATGTAAGTTGTTACTCAATTGCACAGTAAAACTAAGTAGTTCTGGTTTTACGCCCCTATGTGAATCTAATACGTGAATGTTAGGAAGCTTATGGAAATCACATTGTCTCTGGGTATTTTGTTAGCTTGCAAATATGAAATGAGTTGATTCTGTTATACTCCAGTTCCCAGCAAGCTGTTGGCTTCATGTTGTTAAGCATTGTTACTGATGCCTTGGTTAAAAGCTCAAAAAATTGTAGAGGCATCAAATCTCTGACCACTAGAAGTCCATGTAGAACCAAAATGAGATGCATAAAGCAGGAAGCAATGTCAGGGGAAGCTTGCCTTGCTGTTGCAAATGTCTTTGGGTGACTACTAGTTTTCTAGTGATGCTTCATCTGGTAACTTTGAAGAGCAGTAACTAGTTAGGGTCATGCAAGATACACAGGCAGTATTTAAACCCAGTGAAACCAAGCAAAAATACAGTGTGGCTCAGTGGCCTGCAAAAGCTGAATTGCATAGATACCAAGTGTTTGTATTGAGGGGTAAACTTCCCAAAGGGTGCATGAGGATTTAACATTCATGCCAGCCACTTGGCAAGAAATTGACCTGTTAATGTAAGTAAAGACTACTGAGGCTATTTTTAAACTTAAAGATCGTGCCCATATGTGCAGAGAGTTCCTTACAAGTGGTTCCCAGTATATGTGATATAAACCAAACCACAAAGTTACACCTTGCAGAATGTTCTTCCGTCTTCATACACATACGCATGGCTTTCCAGGGAAACTTCTGGTTACTTGTTTTAAATGTTCTCTTATCTTCTGTTAAATAGGCAAAACATTGGTGCGCTATACCTCTAGCTATTAAAACTGCAGAGTATTTCAGCTTTACCCGTACATGTGTACAAGTAGTGTTATCGTCCAGTGTTACCAGACTGTTTAGTGGGGGTTTTTTACCAGCTATGTAATCAATGAAAAGGATTTTTGTTGCCCTTCAGGTCTCTTGTGTGAGAGATTGACCCATTTCCCCTCAGTCTTTGTAAACATGGTAAGATATTTCAGCAGAAGGGGAAAGATGTTTTTTTCTTCCTTAAGACATCAGGAATGAATGAATGGTCTTAAAATTGATAGAGTTGTATGTTCAGTCACGCTTAACTGAGAAATGGAAAATTAATCAATTTCATGAAATTGTGTAGCTGTTTAAATGACTGTTCCCTTAAGTGCCATGTTAAATATCAGCAATATGCGGTACAAGAAATTTGAATCGCAAAACGTAAGTGGTGTTGTTTTCATAACGATTGATGTAAAGAAGAAATAAATTGTTTATTACTTTACAGCTTGCTCTGGTTCTTTTTTGTTTTTTCGTAACAGATGGAAATAACTGCAGGTGCCATCAGAACAAACCAGTAGTAAAGCTGATGTTTTTGTCTGATAATGTGATTTGAGAGAGTCTCTATAGAGGAACAGATATGCAAATTTGGCTTGGAAGGATGAAGTGAACTATAGATGTGTTGCATGCAGGTGATGCTCACTGGGTAAACTCGAGATTGGTGCCCTTAGTTTCTTGGGAGGGGAGGGGCGATGAAATTTGCATGAGGGTTCACAGGGAACAGACTTCCTAAGAAACATGTGTTTGTATGATATCTCCTGACTCCAAAAGCCTCTTTAGTAGGCTTGGGCACTGATGTTCTGCTAAAGCCTTTGGTAGCCAAGTGCATAATTTCAGCTGCTTTGAAAATTCAACCAAGTGCTGAATTAATTTGGAAATCTAACCTCAATGTCTGTCTTTCAGATATGGTTTTTGCATTTTGGAGTTACCTTGATTCCCTTGAAGAGGCTATCAAGTACCTCAGTTACTTCAGATGGAAGACTTAACAGCTAAATGTTTGTGAGGGAAGAAAAATAAGAGTTGGGAGATCACTTTAATTGCATGTCCAAGCAGATCTTTCATAGTAGAGGTGAATAGTGCACAGTTCTTGTCTTCTGGCTCTGCTACAGGATGGCAAGTGGTTAAGAGTAGATATTGGCACAGTTGGAAATCTGTTGAAAGGGGCTGCAAAACAGGATAGAGAGCAGCAATTGAGGCAGAACATGACTATGGCCTAAGGACCTCCTGTCCTATATTCTGAAAATTTAAGTCAAAGGAAGGAACAGAAGATTCTGGGAAGAGAGTACCTGGGGAGCAATGTCCTCACTTGGACACTTGGCATAGTTAGCTTGAGTAGCTTGTGTTGCCCTAGCAGCTGCTGGGGCCTGTTAAAGAGCAGCTGAGGCTCCCATTTCCTGATGGACTGAGCTGGAGACATCTGTTCTCAGTGGAATTGCAACAAGGATGTGAGCGTGGCTGATGGCATGTATAGCTGAGGTATGTTGTTAAATACCTTATTCATAAGAAACGCATTAACTTAGGAGAAATGCAGCTTGTCTACTCTGAACTGAGACCAAATACCTGCAGAGTGTCACTTTCTGTTCTGGGTGCCTCAGAGACGCGGAGAACACACTGAAGTCTGCTTACAGTATACCAGGTGTTCATTCTGTGGGGTTTTCAGAAGTGCTAAACATAGCTTCCTTATCTGTTGTTCCTTGACCTCATTGGAAGCAGAATCCATGTAGTGCTGGAGCTTAAAGAATTCCCACACATGAAGTGTA